AGTAAGATGGTATGGTATTTCCTAAAGATAGACATAGATTAAGGGAACCAATATAAGAGCTAGAAGCAAGACCCACATATAAATGGTCACTTAATCTTTGATAAAGATGTCAGGGGAATTCACTGGAGAAAAGACAATCTTTTAAACAAATGGTATCGATTCAAGTGGATATCATATGGGAAAAAGTCAAATTTATTACTGAATTGTACACAAAAATTAACTTGAATGGATCACATTTCTAAACATAAGCAGAAGTATAAAATTGCTAGAAGAAAGCCAGAGAAAATCTTTGTGATCTCAGTTTAGAAAAGATTTCTTAGAACACAAAAACAGGAGCAATGAAAGAGAAATGTGTCCAGTTGAACTTCTTCCAAATTAAAAACATTTGCTCTTAAGGGATATTGTTAGAAAAGATGAGCTGCAGATCAAAATAAAATACCATATTTGCAAAACATATATGATAAGTGGTTTCAATCCAGAATATATTTTAAAGACTCCTACAATCCAATAACACAACCCAATTTTTAAAATAGACTACAGATTTGATAAAACCCTTCACTAAAGCAAATACCCAAATAGCTAAAAAGACCATGAAAAGATGACCGACACTGTTAGTCATTAAGGAAATACAAATTTGAAAATAATGATCTATCACAACACACCTACTGGAGCAGCTAAAATTAAAAAGGCTGACCATCTCGTGTGTCGATGAGGATGTAAAGCAATGACAGCTCTTGTATGTGATAGAAATGCCAAATGGCCCAAACATTTTAGAAGACAATTTGGGTGTTTCCTCTAATGTTAAATATACTTACCACGTGACCTGCTTTCAAGTATTTTTACTCAGTCCCATTCATAGCTACAGTATTTACCCAAGAGATGAAAATGTATTACATGCAAAGCCCTCTGTTCAAATATTTACAGTAGCTTTATAGCAGCCACAATTGGAAACAACCCAAATGTCCATCAGCTAGTGAATGGATAAACAAATTAAGGCATTCACATAACATTGAGTACTACTCAGTAATAAAAGGGTTACACTACTGGTACTTGTAACAACATGGGTGGATTTCAAAAGTACTATGTTATGTGAAAATGGTTGCTGGGGGTGGAGGTGGAGGAGACAACCGAGTATAATGTAGCATGGGAATTTCTTGAGGTGATGAAATGTCTTGACACTAGTAGTAGTTTCTTGACTATACATGTGTGTCAGACATCAGAACGTACATACCTAAAGGGGTAAGTATAATTTAATAACCCTCACTTAACCCACCTACAGGAGAGGGTTGCTTTGTTTTTGGTGGCACTGGGGATTGAACTCAGGACCTCTTGCTTGTGAGGGAGGTGTGGCACCACTGAGCTAAATCCCCGGCCCAGGAGAGGATTTTTAACCTCCTTCCTTATTAAAAATGCAAATTAAAACAATGAGAAAACTTTTTTTCAACCCCTTAGATTTGCTACTATCTGTACATTACTATCAAGGATGTAGGAAGAAATCATTTAAACTTAAGCATCAGAGCAGTGCTTGAGCTGTCTTTCAAAATGCATAAATTTTTGATTCAGGAAGTTCACTTTCTGGGATTGTCTCTATAAGTCAGACATATGCAAGTAAGTAGTAGTTTATATCGCTGTTTATTGTAGCAGAAACTGGGGAATAACCTTAATTTTCATGAAAAGGGAATTTTAAATTAACTAGTACGTTTATAGGAAAGTGGATATATTTATATGCCAATGTGGAACAGTTTCTAAAGAAATTGTCAAATGAAAGTCATGGTACACAGAATGATAGGTAAGTTCCCTGAGCCTTGTACGCGCTAGGATATTTGTGTTTTTTAAAAGGTGTATGTACTCATATATATGCTTGTATGTGCATAGAATGTCAGAGATTGGCTGTGCATACGTGCGCTCGCACACACATGCACACACAAAAGCTGGTATTAATAGTTGCCTGAACCATAGAAAAAAAACTTGACCTTTTCTTTATCTATTTACTATGTGCTTATATTAATCTCAGTTAAAGAGAAAAAAATAGTTCTTTTGCATATATTGTAATAGCTTATTAGGAAATTAGCAGTACAGAGTAGCTCTAAGTATCCTCTGTTGTCTGTTAGCAATACAAAAGTGGACTGTGTAATTCTTGCTTCTAGTCTGGTGTGATCTCCCCAGGATGACGTCCTCTTGTAAGCACTGCTTCCAGTCTGTGTCTCTTGGTTTTCTGAACTCACGTGGTAAATGGTGGGAGAGGAAATACGCTCAGTCCACTTTACCTGCGTGGTGCCTTCTTGTACACTCGACTGCTCCTCTATTGTTTTTTAAACTAAGGTCCAGAGTGGTTGAGGGAGATAGTGGGAAGGAATGTGCTGAATTGTGCAGAAAGTTGGGGAGATGAAACGTCAGCGACACACTGAGAGGCCACCAGGCAGCCTCTGTACGTGGAGGGAGCATCAGGAGGGCAGTGCAGAAATGGGCAGCACTCTTGGGAAATGGGGCAGCTTGGAAGGCTGTACTCAATTTAGTTTAGATATTAAATGAGTTGAAACAAACGTGTTCAAGTTATGAGCCTTGCCTCATCAGTGCTATAAAAAGCCCTTTTGCCGAACTGTAATTTGACTCTCCTCCCTGAAATGTTATGCAATATTCCTATGGTTACAGAGTAATAAGTGGAAGCTAATCATTAGTTTGCTAAATGTGGTTCACGGAATCGTTCACAGACCTGCCAACTGCTGCTGGTTTAGCTTCATGTTCACTCCTCTTGGTTAGAAGTTGGATTGTTCTTCAGAAAAATGTACAGTAACGTTTGTCTTGGATCCAGAAACCCTGAAGTGTGGCAGCTCTCCATGAGTCTCGGGAGTGAGAAAGGCAAAGGGTCAGTCTAAACAAAGGTTTTGAATACGTATGCTTCTGCAGGAAGAAATTATTCAAGGAGTGTGAGTGACAAAGAAGTTAAAGCTGTAGAGCTGTAGAGAGTTATTAAAAAAGTCATATTTCTGAGCTTTTCTAGCACCTTGCTATGATAGAAATCTATAGAATTTACTATTCTGCGGTTCCAGAAATAAAATCATGCCCTTTCAGGCTCTCCCTTGTTTGTTTCATGGAACAATAAAGATTTCATTATTGCCCCTCAGTCACCTGTAACTATCACACAGGTCCTCTGCCTTTAGAAGACACATATTTTATGAACTGAGGCTCTTTTCTGACTCCTGTACAAGGAAATGTCAAGGGAAGGTACTGAGAGCAGCAGTTATATGCTAGGTTTATGCCCTTATCTGAGAATTAAAGGTTAAATCCTTAAGCCTTTCCTGAGTATTTGGCCTCTTCCTATTAGGATGAAAGTGAGTTTTTTTCCCCCGTAAATAGAAACTGTGTTGTAGCCACTGTGACTCATTCTTCTTCCTCCACTGAGAGGCATTTGGCTCTGAAGGAGGAACCTCTTTCTCAGCTGATGTCAGTTCTTGTCCAGAAAGCGACAGTCCAGTGGTTATCTACCTTTACCTGGTATATCATTTAGATATCTTTGGATTATTAAAAAAAACAGAAAAACTGATCAAAAGGAATTTCTTGGCCTGTGTGATTTAAAAGGCATAGTTAGAAGGAGCTGAAACCATACCCTCAAGACCCACTATCTCAGTTTCCCTGACTCTGGCCTTGTTTTGTGGACTTACTTTCAGGCTGTACATGGTAGCACGTAGCAGTTACATAATCTTCCAGGTGCAAGGCCAGCAAACAACCACCCTGCCTGGTGGAAAAGTCCTGAAGTTCACTGTGGCTGACTGGCCTAGATCTTGCGCCATCCCCGAACCAGTCACCAGCATACCAAACAGCAGTATGCCTCTCAGTGCTCTGTCCTGAACCTCGTTCCCTGTCCCTGGAAGGAACAGGAAAAGGAGTGCTCCCCAGCTGGAAGCGAGGCTCTCCTCAGAAAGAGTAGGAATTAGAGAACAAATCCTGGTCCTGAGCCAACGTGAGGAACCTGAATTCTCCCCTTAGTGCCCTGACAAACTCCTCTGTCCTCCCAACAGTTTGTGTGTGACCTGAGCCACCAACCCAGTGACAGCATGGGGTTCTACGCTCGGGGAAGCAGTTCAAATTCCAAGCCTCTGATTCTTAATCTCACCTGCCTGTGTGCTCCCCAGGAATGCTGCAAGAAGTCCCTCTCTCCTTTCACATTACCCTTACTTAAAATGCCATACATTTGTTTTAAAACTCCACACAGGAGGAGACTGAAGAGGAAATTATCAGGAGCCAGTATAATTAGGGTTGTGCTCCTTGCACATCTGATCTTAATGTAATTTAAAAAATATATAAAAGCAATGGAATCAAGTCATACACAGTTTAGAAAATATAAAAACCACAATTTCACCACTTTAACCCAACCACTGTTTTAATTTTAGAGTATTTCCTTTCAGCCGTCGTTCATGTGAGTTTCTCACAAAGTTTTGTATCTTGCTTTTTTTGCATGACATTACATAACTCGTTTTCCATATTGCTGTACGGTCACCAGTGTCATGTAGATGGCAACATAATAGTCTGTTAGGAAGGCATAGTGGAAGTCATTTAAGCAGGCATTTTGGTTGTCTAACTGTGTGCTTTCTCCACTGTTCTGAAGTGTCTGCAGAACATTTCTAGGGTTTGTAACTTTTCTCATGCCTTATCTTATTTCCTGGGGAGAGATTGTGAGAAACAGGATTACCGGTTCAGAGGATATAAACATTTTTAAGACTCTTGGTGATACATATTGCCAAATTGCTTTTTAGAACTGTTGGATTTATCTTTACTGCCTCTAGCAATTTATGAGAGAATCAGTTTCACTGCATTCTTCCAGCGCTAGACATTTGGGTTTCTAAATATGTCTCTGGTATATCAGGCTAAAAGTTTGTGTCATTTTTGTTTTAATTTTCATTTCTCAGTTGCTAACAAGGTTGAATGCTTTTATGGGCACTTGTTTATTAGCTATATTTATGCTCTGCTTAATGCATTGTCTTTTCTTTATTTTAGATCCCAAAACAGCTTCTGAGACGGAAACAGATATCTGTGCTGAATGGGAGATAAAGACCATCACGAGTGCTCTGAAGACCTACCTAAGGTAGGGACTTTCCATGTGCAGGGCAGGGTGCCAGCTGGTTATCATGCAGTCAGGAAGACAGCAGTTTTATTTTCAATCTCCAGAGAGCTGTTGGGTGGGTGTTTGAATCTTGGAAACAGCTTCTGTGTAGGTGCGTTTGGTTCAGATGGTCAATCTGATTGTAAATCATCCATAGTTGATGGGCTGCCATTGTGGGATGGTGCCAAGAGTGATTTAGGAAGTTTTGCTCTTAATGAGAAGTACTGCGGTAATTAGCCTGAAACAAAATCTAAAATATGGTCTTCCTTGAATAATCTGTTAAGAAAACAAGAAATCATAGATCACATTCTGCCGAGAATACATGGTTGCCTTGTATTTTCATAGTTTTGTGCTATGCCCAGAGTATATTGCTTACATTAGTCCTTAAAAGTGAAAATTTAGAAGAACTCCATGTGACTCCTTCCACTCCTATTAGGTAATACTGGAATATTACCTTACTGAAGGGACTATTTTTCTTACATTACTGAAATGATATTGCTGCTACCTCTTTCTGTGTCCCTTGGGTTATTGACTACTTCCCGTATCTCTGTTTTATGAAGAGAGTGAAGGATGGGTTTGAAGATGGAATATTGTAGTTCAAACTGAAGTAAGGAGTAAGACGAAATGCAAGGGGTGACTAAGAGATCAGTTAGGGCATCCAATAAGAATAAAATCTAAGCCATGAATGATGGATAGTCTGTTGAGTTTATTATTTAAATTGTCAGAAAAAGCTCAGGTTTATATATAAATATGTTCTTACTCAGCAGGTAAAATTTGCTTGTATTATGCCTAATGTTAGAGATTCCAGCCTGGTGGCTGGCACTCTGGAGAAAAACTCCAGTCTCAAACAACACACTTCCAAAGGTTTTTCATAGTGTTTTCATCTGAACTGATACCAACAGCACATTGCTGAAAAGATGGGAGTTTAAGCACAGGCAATTGTAAATGTTTAGTGAGGTGCTTGTTTCTGAAACACATCCTAAAGTGCTCTTGTTGATAGGTGAGTCACTGACTGGGAAGGAAATCTCTTGTTTTGCGCTAGACTTTTGCATTAGCATTTTTCTAGTTGTGCCTGCGAAGTATAGCTATAGATGTTCTGTTCACAAAGAAAGAGAATGAAGATTTCAGGTGAAATTTCAGACCCTTTTCAATCAGGAAACAATATTGAGTTGCCTGTGTTTCCTTGTGATCTTTATCCTTAAGAAATGTAATACCCTTTTGCAGTCTTTAGGCTACTCTTTAGGGAAAATATGGTTATTTTATTATTAAGCTGACTAGTCTGTATCTTTATATTCCAGAATGCTTCCAGGACCACTTATGATGTATCAGTTTCAAAGAAGTTTCATCAAAGCTGCAAGTAAGTTATCTTTTGTTGCAATTTTGAGTGGAATAAAATAGATTTCAACCAACAGCCAGTATCTCAGAATATTCTCTAATCCATCGTATTCTACACCTGAGTGCTCACATGTATGCTTGGAAGACAGAATAGAAATGAAGCCAAATCAAGACTGCCAAGGGCCTTGCTATGACATTGAATTTACAGAGGAGAATAGAAACTTCAGAGGTGTTTTTCTTGAGTGGTAGAAGAAGAGAAAGAAGCAAATTTGCCTTTCTAGTTTTGATGATTGGAGTTCTACTTGGTTTTTCGCCATCCTTTGAGTGACATTTTACAGAATGAATCAGATGTTGCACATGACCTAAATTGAGCATTGGAAGTGTTTCCCCGAACATGATACCGTTTATATAACTTTACAGTCCTCTTTCCAGCTTGTCTTCCATCTACAGCTTCTGATCAGTCCTCAGCCGTATTATCCAGGTCTCTAGTGTCAGATTACTGGTGTTGAAATACATAGGGATTAGGTGTGAGCTAGCCTAAGTATACTGGAATCTGTCTACGTGGGATAGGCCTCCTGAAGGAGGCATTTAGATTCTCTATCAGATTTAAATCTGGCGTGAATCCGCACAGTATTACTACCGTGTCAATAGCTTGTGCCTCTCCACGGCTCCTATCAGCCTTTAGGGTTTGTTTACCCTTGCAACTACTACTGACCTAATTTACTAGCACCTCACGTTCTGATGGCCTCATCTACTCGTAGTTGTCCTCCTAAAATGAGTAGGAGAAAGCCATGGGAGAAAGCTGAGAGCATAGATGATGTTTATGTGATTTCTTTTACAGAGAAATTCCAAACCCATAGCAACCATTCTCTAATTAAAACTCACATCAGTCCCATAAATAGATCCAGTGAGTATCAGCAATCTACTTCCCAGAGAAATGCAGCCACTTACCCAAGTTTGACCAAAAGAATATGACAGGCCGTGATACAGGTTACAGGGTGGCAGTAAGATTTAAATGCTCGTCTGGTCTGCCGTTGCTTTCTTTCTACCAGGCTGCTGTCATGCATAACTTGTGAATAATGTGCCTTCGCTTTGATTGCTTTGATGCAGTCTCAACACACTATTTTGAAATTTGAGACCCTTGCAATGTTCTTGATGGAAGATTTGTTCATCACTTTCTGAGTGCATAAAGTTCCTTCCTTCCTTGAAATAAAGTTGGCCCTCTAGGGATCCAGCTGTTGCTGAGTTTGTTCCTGCTCTGGATGTGCAGTTGAGTCTCTTCCTTTCATCATATCACCATTTTGGCTTGAATATTTTGACAATTATTTTGATGAACCCTGTTACAGAAGGCACCATTTAAAAGGATTTATAGGTCTAGTTGGCTGCGCTGGTCATGCAGTTCACACGCAAGACAGGATCAGAAATGTTTGAGAAATTCTTGGTTTGTTAGTGTCCAAACTTTGATTTCCCTTGATTTTGTCTCTTCACGTGAGTTAGCTTTGAAACTGAAACAATATTACCTCCCCGCTTCCTTCGCAGAACTGGAGAACCAGGAGACTCGGGTCTCTGAAATCCACAGCCTTGTTTATCGGCTCCCAGAGAAAAATCGACAGATGTTACAGCTGCTCATGAACCACTTGGCCAAGTAGGTTTATGACTGATTGCTGGCCCCATTTTCACCCCCAGAATGTTCTTATCTTAGCAGTAAAGCTAGTCTCCCTTCTGCTTATGTTTCCCTCTCCCACTATTGCATCAGGTATGCTAGAGGCTTAGGAAAGAAATGTGTGAAATGTTAACTGCAGTGGATAACAGCAGTAAATGCCAGATGGCTCTCACAGAGGAGGCTGGAGAAGTGCCTCACAGCCAGGGCGCCAAGCAGAGTTTGCAGGAAATTTTTGCTCTTGTCCCGATCAAGGGTAAACCGGAATGTGTCATCCACAATGCCAGGTCATCACTTAAGAGTTTTTAGGGCTTATATGTTCTTTTGTTGATCCAAGTCCGTACGAGAATATGTTGTGGGTTTATAGAACTTGGATTTGGAGTAAGGAGGCCTCGTACTAGAGTTGACTATCTTCTGAACAAGATACTCAGCCACCTTTGAACAAACCACCAAACAAACCTTCCATTCCTTAGTTTCTTCAGTGGTCAAGTGCAGATGATAGAGTCTGTCTTATAAGGTCATTGACTTTAAAGCCTTTGAAGAAATATACAGAATAAAGGAATTATTTTTGGCAAATGTTCGCTTGTCCTCTAAGATAGTGCATTCAGTGAGGGCCTGGTTTTCCGGTTGGGAATATTTACATTGTTGGAATGGCTTTGGATTTTCTTGTGTATTCACTGTGCTTGACTCTTTAGAATGGCCTTCCCTGCTGCGTCAGTCACTTGTGTATGTTATGCTCTAACCTTCCATTAACTTCGGTGGGATGTTCTTGATTGCAGACTGGAGCAAAAGAAAAGCATGAGCCCGTAGTACTTAACATAAATTGTTCAGCACAAAATTCTGCCGAACTGATGTGCTTTAAATTTGCCTTCTTACTAGCACTTGGCTCTTGCTGTTAAATTATTCCTCCGGGATAAGTTGATACTCATGTGAGGGAGAGTGTGATGCTTAGTTGTCATGTATCTGATAAGTGTGTGGCATGTGTGACATTACCTTTTGAAGAGAGAGCGTGTAGGTACCATAAGGATTTATATCCTTATGGCTGGGAGTGGTGGTGCACACCTGTAGTCCCAGCACTCAGGAAACTGAGGCAAGAGGATTGCCCTGAGTTCAAAGCCAGCCTAGACTATACATAGTGAGTTCAAGGTTCAAGGTGTGCTTGCACTACATAGCAAGATTCTCAACCCCCTACCTGAAAAAGATTTGCACTAGTATAAGGAAAGTAATTTTTTGTGTGTGTTTGTGTCTTTATCTTTTTTTTTTTTTAATTTCATATGGTACAGGGATGGTAAGGAATGTGTTTTTTGTGTTAATGAGAAGCAGTGAGGTAGAGTTGAGTGTTGTGGCATTATTGATAGATTTTTGTTGCTATGCCGTATTAGAACTGCATGTCCAGAAACAAGTATAGCAGAGAACAGGTGAGTTCATAGGGAGATTAGCCCCAAAAGGAATCCTGATAAAATGTGTATAAGATAATGGGAACCAGGCTTTAAAAAGTAGTTCTACATTCTCTGAGATGACAGTTTAGTACCTGATCCACATAACCCATTTGTTTTTTTGTTTTTTTGGTATCGGGGATCAAACTCAGGTCTTTGAGCTTGTGAAGCAGGCACCAAAACCACTGAGCTCATACATAACCCATTTGTTAAAGGAGAAAGCTAGTTTTTATCTTACTTGCAAAGATTCCTGGTACATTTTCCAGCCACCTATACATGGGGATGCTTCTGACCGCTTTATGGTACTGCATCTGAAGGAGGCCTTGAGGGCTGCTAGGAGCAGCTGGAGAAGGGTTAGAAACAAGCTGAAAGTAGTGGGTCTTGTCGAACTGCAACTGGAGTGAGCACTTACTTGGACTGAAAGAGATTCAAGAGGGAATGGTGATCCAGCAGGACCAGTGTTGAATTTTTCCCATTTGTAAATTGCCCTGAGAATTGTTAGGATTCACGAGATAGGGAAGAAATGAAAACCTGAAGGTGGTTCTTGAACAGTTGAACCTGCTCATCCCTGATGGATGAATGATGGATGGTTCATTTTTCCCTTTTCCACCTTTTCCTTCCCCCATTCCATTAAGTTCAGTCTAGCCTCATTCCCAACTTAAGACATAATACAACTGGAGAATGAGTTACACTTGTGATCTTGACTTTTTGTCTTCTAACCATTTTGTTGTTGAAGTTATTTTATTCCCTAGCATTTTTGGAGCACTGTGTCTTAATTTTGATACTTGAGAATGACTTTCTTTGGCTTTAGTGGACTTCTTTATTAATCATAAGACTACTGTAGACGAGCTCTCATGCCTTAGTGTGAGTTGGTCAGAGTGGGTATTGGGAAGCACAGACTTCGGTTCTGGGAGTGCTGTGTTCTTGGTCTGCAGAGCCTCCAGATTGAAAATGTCCCTGAGGAGGGAGATGGGTGTAACTGAGCACTGAAGAATCCAGTCAAGGGTATTTATCTAGTTCTCATGGGAGTTCTAAGATTCCAGTGAAATGGTTTTCCCACTTATAGCACTGTCCTTATTTTAAAATTCAGCCTTAAGGGAAAGTTAACTTGGGATAAGAGCTTTGTCTAAGTCCAGTTTTCTCATGTTCAGGCTTGCCCTAAGATTTGCTTGAACTATTGTTCTTTTAGGCCACTTGCTTAACGGTCAGCTTCCTTCCTAAGTTTTGGTTTCAGGGCCTATTCTGCTGGAAAACTCAGTGTTTACCTCTGTCCTTACCCACTGTTTGCCTTGTGCATCTCAGGATTCTGGTTCAAAGTGGAGTCATTCTGTATTGCATATTTTTTTAAAGTACTCTTTTGAAACCATTTCCAAAGTTGATTTCCTCTTAACTATTGAGGGAGAGTTAAGGCATTTTGTATTAATCCTGAAGAAAAATACATTCAGAAGAAAAAAAAAAAAAAGCCTTGGAGGGAAAAGATAAAAACACTAAACCTCTTAAAACAAATGATTACCAGGAAACAACCAAATCACTGAGACCGCTGGGTTCGTTTCAGACCTCAGAGGGAACGTAAAAATTATAGGCAACCATGCACATATTTTTGTCATTCCAGCTTAAATCTACTATGATAATTAGATGTTTTCTATTTGGATCTTGGAATCTGGTATACAGTCTAGAGTCACGTGCCCCACAGCATGGATGGAATCACCTGGGGTGCTTGTTTACTTTGGCATTTCTAGGCTGCACTCTACTAAATGGGAAGACATAGATTCCTGGGAATCTGCATTTCTGATGTATTTCCTAGGTAATTATTATACAGTCTTTTGAGAACCACTGGCCTATAGAATGGGCCATATGTAGAGATGGGGGTGGTATTAAGGGGAATATGGGTTGGGAGTTAGGAGAGTATTAGAGGAAGAAGAAACTTAAAGTTGTGAGAATGCAACAATTTTATCTTCATGATTAAATTAGTTTAAAAAAATCCTGTAAGACTTTGCAATTTGACTTTGCATTAAATCAAGCTTTCAACAAATAACAAAATCTTGTATAAAACATTTTTAATTATGAAGAAAATAGTCCCCAGATAGCTTTGGAACTTTGTGCAAATTATTTTACCTCTTTGAGCCTCATTTTTCTGAGTTTCCTGTCAATTCTGCAATTCTGTGTTTTCATCCAGTGGGTGGGGGATGGTACAGGAAAAAGAAAAACATTTTTCTGATCTTTTAATTGTAGAAGAAAATAAGAGTAGATGAGTAATAAAGACTAATTTCATGGTAGTTTCCTAATGTTTACATATTATGATGACTCCAAGCACGTTGTATATCCCTACACATACCGTTCATAGTGGCTCATTGTAACTTTATTACGGTGTTTATGAAACGCAGGAGGATTTCAAAGGACTCTCCATACGTTACGAGTTGTTATTAAAAATATCTTTTCGCAGCTGGTTTTCCCAAAATACTTACTGGAAAATAGATCTTAGTCTCTTTTCTTTTGGACAGGGACGTCGGGGGATCATCCTTTTGTTGCTAGTGAAGCAGAACCTTGTTTTGCTTCTCCAAGGTGGTAGCATTTAGGATGCTTTTAGCTGTACAAAACAGAAAATTCAATTCTAAATGGCTTAAACAATAGGGAATCTATTGTGTGATTACACAAAATCAGTTCTGAGAGTTAGTTGATTTCTTGGCTCCTGAAGGACTCGGGTTATTTGCATGTTCTTGCTGATCGAGCTTCATTGTGTAGACCAGCTCCTCTCAGGGTCATAAAATGTTACAGTGTGTCCTTGAACATTAGTCCTTGATCAGAGGCAGAAGAGGTGTTGTTTCTTCAAGACTCTTTAAGAGCTATTGTGGTGCTTTTTTATGGTGATACTTTTCCCAGCTGTTCTCAAGCAGACTTCTCATTCTATTTTCTTAGTCCAAAGCAGTCACCAAAAAGAAGAAAGTGACCACTGCCCTTATTTTGCACCAAATAGGGTTTAGCTGAGCTGACTGTGGGAGACACAAGACCCAGAATAAAAGCTTAGCTTTGCCTAGGCAGCCCAGTGTCTGCTGCAAGTAATCTTTGTAAAATAGCATTCAACACAGAGCATTAAATTTATTATATAAATATTGCATAGTGAGTTATCTGTCAAGACACATGGCACCAAAAGGCCAATTGGAGAGGAGAGATGAGTACATATGTACTAAACTATGAGATTTCGAGAGAGGAAGATAAGACAGAGTAATGAAGAAGAAAAACTGACTTTCATCCATTGCCTTTTTCTTTATCCTTGTTGCTGTTTTCATTACCTAGTTATCTAATGTTTATTTTGATCATCTGTTCCATGTTGTAACTTCCCAGAGAGGATAATATTCCACACGTTTCAGGGATCATGAAAACAATTGTGAGATCAGTGGTCGGCATACAAATGAAGCCTCATTGAAATGTATAGATGCTATTGGCAGGCGTGATCAAGGATTTAGTATCTGGTAGTGTGGCTTTTTTCTCATTCTCGTGACTGAAGTTTGAGTACTTGCAGGCTTCCCTGCAGATCAGGGAAGATATACTCATCTTTTATGAGTGATCTAGAAAGAGTAAGTTGAGTTCATGTACGAATGCCTGTGGTTATAAGGAAAGTCAGTGATAGCCCTTGGCACAAGGAAGATGGGCCCTGGTGGCTCAGTA